GCCCATTAATGGTCCGGCCCAGCGGGATTCGTCCCGATTGTCCCGATTACCCACTCCGCCCTTGGTCTGAACCAATCCCTTTTGTTGACATTGATCAGCTGACTGATTTAAATACAACTTAACATTCATGAGGTACTTTACATTGACTGTTTATGGTTGAGTGTGGGCGTGTAGAGGGTAGAACCTGAGGAGGACCTCGTGTTCAAACTCTGACGTGTGGCTGTGATTTATAAAGGACAGATGTAGAAACGTGTGTACGTACGGTTTTATAAATCTGAAGGTTTTTGGCGTACGTTCACTTTTAGTGTTGTTTCCACACAATCCTTTATAAATGAGAGCCCTGGACTTTAATCAGAGCTCAAGTCCAGCTCTGCTTTCACACACAGCAGGTCAAACAATGTTTGAACCTGTTTAACCAGGTCAGGCAGGTAGGAACAGGTTTGGACTTGAGGCAGCAGGTCCAGGTCCAGGTCCAGGTCCAGGAGAGCACCTGATGGGTCCGTTTGTGTCAGGATGAGAACAGAACCAACAGGATGAAACTCATCACATCCTGTTCCACCTGTTTTCATACTGATGTCTGTACAAACCTGGACCTGGACCTGGACCTGGACCTGGACCTGACTCACACATCAAACGGACCTAGAACGTAGAACCTGAGGACCTGCAGGACTGTTGGACTTCAGAGGGTTTGAGGTCTGGTTCTGTGAGAACTGAGTCCGATGAATGAAAGACGAGCTGAGAGACTTAATCCAGGTGATAAACTGGTCCCAGTGGGCGGAGCCACACAGCTGGGGCAGGTAAAGACTGGACTCAGGGTTGGTCTCAGCTCAGTTGGTTCTAGTCTGCAGGACCAGGATGATGGTTTTGGACTTGATGACTCAGCAGATTCAGGTACTGCTGCAGCTTTACTTCACTTCTTGTTGGAGATGATAGTCCTGGTCCTGGTCCTGGTCCTGGTCCTGAATCTTTTCTCCAGGTTTAAAGCGTCCAGGTGTGACACATCCAGGTGTGTGTGCTGCAGGTGTTCGTGGAGCTGCAGGAGCTGCTGACTGACAGGAACCAGGAGGTCCAGTGGAGGGAGACGGCCCACTGGATCCAGTCTGAGGACCAGGACAGCCGGACCAGGTCTCACATGGCTTCTCTGTCCTTCTGCTCCCTGCTGGAGCTCCGAAAAACCATCTGCCATGGTGAGGAGGAGGAGGAGGAGGAGGAGGAGGAG